AAACAGAGAAACTGAATGATTCAAGTAAAACTATACTTGCTGGCTTAAAATGTAACATCTCTCTTGGCTCTTTTGCTTATTACATGTCAATCTTTAAAAATGTGATTTTATTGAAATAAGTTCATTTAAAAATATCACTCACCAAATATTTAACCCTATAAAGTTTAATAGGGAGAAAATGTAGTCTCCACCAACCAACATTCCAATGTAGGCAACAGACACGTTCTGCAAGGGGAGAGAGAATCTGTCATTCCAAGTGAAGGATGGGGTGGGGGATACAGAAAACAGGAAAAACCTGAAGCTAGGCAGTCTACTTTTCATAGAGTTTTGAAGAGAGTAATTTTTCATGAATATCCAATAAGTGAATTAAAAAGCATCACAGGTGGTTTTATAAAGAAATAGAGCACCTGCCGGGCACGAGTGAGGCACTGGGTTCGATTCTCAGCACCACATAAAAATAAAATAAAGGTATCATGCCCACCTACAACTAAAAAAATACAAAAAAAGAAAGGAAGCAAAATATGATATAATAACAGAAAACTGCATTATTCTCTGCCCCTGTCTGAAGAGTTGAATTGTAATCAGCTTGCCAGATCTCATCTTTTGAGTGATGAATTTTAGTCATATTGAACCTAAAACTGAACAGAGTAGAGGCATCTAATACATTCCAAGCAGCACTCTGTCCACTGTATATAGGTGGCCTTGGGCAGCCCACAGACAGGTCTACTGCCCCTCACTCCAGGAAGTTGAGTGAATAGAAAACCAAGAACCTACAGAAGAGAATTCAGAAACTCCAGCCCTGTTCATTCCCGTGTGTGTTCAAATGCACACACACACACACACACACACACACACACAGGCTGATCCACAATTACAACTGAGCACAGACCTGGCTGAAAACCGTCCTTCCCAGGGTCCGCTTCTTAGTAGCCAGTTCTTCCAGAAAACTACACTGTAGCTCACTTAAAATTAATAATTTGTTTCCCTTTCTAAATTAGCAAGTCCTCCCTCTGTTGGATGCATTAGGGGATTAGAGAGAGTGAGACAGGGTCACCCAGACCCAGATGCAAATGGCCCTCGACAGCAGCAAAACCAAGCTCAGCTTCCATGTATGGTTTGGACTTAGCCCCGATCCCCACCCCCACCCCACCCCCCACAGCTGTTCACTGCAAGGCCCCTCCACTCACCTTGATGGCACCAACCACCGCCGTGGTCAGGGCTGAGTTGTAATAGCTGCACAGAACCGTGGAGTACATCAGGAGGAACCTGAGTCAAAGAAAGCAACAGCTAAGCTTGTGCCTGCGCATGCTGGGGGCCACAGGCAGAGAAGGGAAGGACAAGTACCAAGGTCGTACAACCCACGCCCTAAGACACCTCCACCAAAGACATCCGTATCCCAGGAAAACGGCCCAGCTGAGCCTCAGCCACACTCCTAACCTGGTGTTGTTCTCATGTTCTCCACGCATTTTCCAATAGACTTTCCACAACATGGAAAGGAGATTTTTAAAAACCACCTGAATCTTTCACTTAGTGGCTAGGTTACCCCAGAGGTGTGGACCCTCTTGTGGATTCGGAATCACCTGCTGCTCTTTGCACGCACACCACAATGCCCAGCAGAGGCTCCCATTCCACTGGCTTGAGGTGATAGGAAAGTTCCGCAGGTGATTCTCATG